CTCTCTGTCAAATAAATGGATAAAATCTTTAAAAAAAAATAAAAAAAAAATATTTACTCCCTGGCCCTTTCCAGGACAAGTTTATTGACCCCTGCCCCACAGCAGTGGTTGTGAGGATGCAGGAGATCAAGCCTGTGCATTGATCATGGCACATAGTAGGTGTCCAGTTCAGTGGAGCTGTGTCCCCCAAACTTTAACATTCATGAACTTGGTGCCCGGTTCTCACCCTCCCCCCTCCCACTCTCCTTCTACCCTATAGGAAAAACAGAGGGAGTAATTACCATGTGAATAATTTAGTTAGAAATACTGCAAAACGATATTATGCATATGTATTTTTATCATGTACCGTACATATCTATATGCACCAAATATTTCACATGTGCAGTAGACTACAGCAATGGATAGAAAAGGCTGTGTCCTGTGGACTGTACTTCACAGGAGGCTTAGGCTCTTTTAAGGGTCATTCTGATGCTGATTTTCCCTTGCCTGGTGGTTTCAGAAGCTGACATCCAAGGAAGACGCACCTCCCTTCTGAATGGTAGCTCTGAATATTATGAGCTGCATCTAGAGCAAAGTAAAACCAAAGTGTCAGAATCTTCTAACCATCAAAAATGAATCGAAAGCATGGATAAAATCTCTGATGTCCTAAGTGGGAGAATATATGCATTCATGTCTTTTTCGTTTTGGTTTTTTTTTCCTGTTTCCCAGGCACACGTCTGTTTTATAATGTGAGTTACACATGTATCATTTACATTTGGCCTTATTTATCGTCTCATGGCTGAAACTGACAGGTCACCTTGCAAAATGCAGGGGAACACCCCCTCAATTTTGCAAGCAGCATCTATTGATATTAGTGTCACCATCTTCCACTTCCCTCCCTGAGTGTCGTGAGAATACAACGAGATATAAGTAAGAAGATACTTAGAGATGCTGAGTACAGTAGACAGGTCCAGTGTAATCTCGTTCTTTCTGTCCTTGGCAAGAAGGAGCAGCCTCCACGTGGAGCTGCCCAGAGGAGAGAGGGGCTCAGTGGTGTGAGGACGGGGCGTTAGATTACAAGTGTACATAATTAGAGCGAATTATCTTCATTGGAAAATAAGCAAATTATTTTCCAATTTAATGAATAAGCAGCTTCTAATGAACTCCAGTAGAGAGATTTGCTTTCAAATTTCAGTAGTTAAGTTCTGTGTTCTTTATATTAATGTGTTGCTTTTATGGCCCACCTTAATGTTTTTCTTACTGTTCTCTGTTGGTGGAACAGAATTTTAGAGATGAAAAGCAACCCCAGAGGTGATTCAGCCTCTCATTTAAAATTAAAAAAAAAAAAAAAGGGAAGAAAATATGGCCCAGAAGGATCCTGTGGGATCCTGTGACTTATCCAAGATCCTGTAACTGGTCCGCTGTCCACTGGACCAGGCCCCTAAGCGTGTGTCTGCCCACCACTAGAAGGGCTGCAGCCAGACCCTGGGGACTGCCGTGCTTGCCCCTGGACTAGCTCTGCTTCCTTTCTGCTCTCTGGCTTTGTTCTGGGCCTGTTTCCCTGCTGGCATCTTAACTTGCCTCGACACTTGCTTCTGTTGGTAGAACACTCTGGTCTGACCCCTGGTCTCCAACCCTCCCTGTCCCCTTCCAGCTCTAGGCCAATCTCCTGGCTCTTGGCTCTGCCCTGTGTGGCCTACGACCTGGCATGTCATCCTCTCCATAGTGAGTCCCTCGACTGACAGCTAGTGCAGGGGCGGTCAAAGGTTTCTGGGAGCTGTCCACACTGGTTCCTCCCTCCAGAGCATCAGGGGTCAGGAGGTTGGGATAAAATGGGCCCAAAAACCCAGATCCCCTGATCCTTAATTCTGGGCCTTTTTCTTAATTTTTTAAATGAATAAACCTTCTTTTTTAGAGCAATTTTAGGTCCATAGCAAAGTTAGGTAGGAAGTACAGAGCGTTTTCATATATCCCCCGTCCGCGCACACACACACAGCCTCCCCCCACTGTTGGCATCCAGCACCTCAGTGGTACTCAGTTAAGTGAGTGTCTGTGGAACACAAGGGCAGGTATGTAGTCAGTTTCAGATCACTTTGTTCTGCCTTGGCATTCTCTGGTAGTCTGTCCCCCGAGGCAGGTGGCTTCTGACTGCATCAAAGTTCGTACATGGAGATAGCCCTGCTCCGGCCCTCTTTTTTCTTTGTCTATCCAAACCAATTTCAAATTCCTGGAGCTGGGATTCTGATTGACTGTGGTAGGGTCAGGCGTCCATCCCCAGTGCACCATACTGAGGTTGGGGTCCTATATCGTCTTGGAGCTCCCCTCTGAGGACAGGGAGGAGAGAGAGATAGAAGGAGGCAGTTTAGGGTGTCCTTATGAGCTGAGCAGATAACCCAAAAGACGTCTACCATACCATGATATTGTATAATCCAGGGTCTCCTATAAATTCTCCAGCTGCCTCTTTTCCAAATTCTTTATTAATATTGGCCCCAAATTCTGGCCATTGCCAGAGGTTCATCTTCGGACCTTCGCTCTTCCCCTTATTCTCACTTTCTTGGAAAGAGTGACTTGCGCTTCATCACCGGCTATGAGGTCCCCCACCCCCCACCCCCCACACCTGTGTAGACCTACTGGAAGTGGCCACATCCAGAGACAAACATCTTTCCTCTGAGACTCAGTCCCTACGTCTTGCCTCTCAATAAGTCATCGCTGTCTTTTTGCTCCTGCTTTGGAGTATTCTTGGCTAATGGGACATGTGGTACTGATTTTCTCACACATAGCCACCTGAGAGTAAAGCTGGATAATTTGGAAGACACATGGACAATGCACAGAGGTTCCCATTTTATGGCATTCCCATTTAAAGGCAATCCATTAACTTTCCACCAAGGAATCCTTTTGAAATGGACACTTCCATAAAAGTTGTGAAAAGTGCATTTGGAACAGCATATTTAAACCTTATGATGTTGAGCTGTTGAATTTATGCATACTTTCAAATGCTAGTCTTTGGTTTTCTAAGAAAATCAACATTCTCTCTGAAATTGCCCGTTATATGGGAAATGTGGGTGATTACTGCTAATTCACATCTGTACCATCACCTCAGTGGTGAGTTTGGGGGTTTGGTGAAGCACATTGGTATGCACTCATCAAAGGTTATGTGTATGCGCACAGTGGAAGGCATTTTTGTGGAAGGCATTTTATATAATTCCGAACAATTTAATAAAAATGTAATTTGACTGGGAAATCTACTGTCGGCCCTTGCAGAGTGCAGATAATGTTCCAGATTAAGGAGCTGAGGCTTTGTTCATTACAGTCAAATAACGCGAGTGTGTGAATTACCATTTCCTTTTCGTTGGTCTATTTCAAGAGTATGCCATTTTCCCACTATAATAATAGGCTACATTTTCTTAAAATCATTTGATTATGGGGGCGCCTGGGTGGCTCAGATGGTTAAGCGTCTGCCTTCGGCTCAGGTCATGATCTCAGAGTCCTGGGATCGAGTCCCGCATCGGACTCCCTGCTCCTTGGGAGCCTGCTTCTCCCTCTGCCTCTCTCTCTCTCTCTCTCTGTCTCTCATGAATAAATAAATCTTAAAAAAAAAAAAAACCATTTGATGATGATTGGTCCCGTCTATTCAGTTTGCAAATAAAAAGCTTTTGCGGTGATAAACTAGCTGTTTTAAAATAGCCTTAATCTCTGGTTCTGCTTTTGAACTGCTACAGGTCAGACTCTGCGAAAGGCTGACAGAGGCCGGTCATGCTCACAGGAGAAAAAGGAGGTAAATGTGTCACTGGTGAGGGTGGGTGGGAGGCAACTCTGTTTGAAGGGAGCCTGCTGGTGAATAAATATTCCTGGATCTCCTACTTGTTTCGGAGTCTCCGGCTTGAATCCCGGACCAAAGGATAGTTGGCACCTCGAGTTCTCAATCAAAGTGTCACTGGTAGTAACAATCTCTTACGAAGTGTATCAGTTAACTTTGTGTAACAAATGAAACCCACATTTCAGGGATGTCACACAACATCGGTGCATTTAGTTCATGATTCTGTGGGTCGACAGTTTGGGCTCGGCAGTTCTGTTGATTTCAGCTGGACTCACTTCTGCCTTTGCAGTGAGCACTGTGTCACCTTGGGGATGGCTGAGTACCAGTAGTGTGCTTCGGCTCTCTTTCAGTGCTTTCTCATCCACCAGCAAGCCAGCCAGCTTTGTTCTTCTGGGGGTTCAGGGGGTCAAGAGCATGAAGAGTGGAAGCTGCAGCACCTCTTGAGCCCTGGGCTCAGAACCAGCATGGTGTCCCTTCTGCCAACTTGGTTTTCTTTAAAGCAAGTCACAAGGTCAGGCCAGATTGAAGGGGTGGGGAAATAGGCCTCACCCCTGCATGGGAAAGCTACAAATACTTGTGGCCATTCTTGAGACCTGCCACACTGAGCCCACCTGCTCTGTACCTGGCAGAAGGGATGAGAGAGACACAGCCCTGATCTCATGGTGTGCGCACTATAGATGGAAGGGATGTGCAGCGGGGTCATTATAATGCCATGTGAGAAGGGCAAAGAGAGTGGAATTTCAATACAGAAGAGGGCTTACCTGACTCTGCCAGTGGTCTCTAGAAAGGCATGCGGAAAAGCTGATATGCAGGCTGCGTCTTGAAGAATGAGCGGCAGTTTTTCGGGCCAAGTTAAAAAGCATGGTCAAAGTCAGACATGAGTAAGGAAGGTTGCAAGATTCCTGAGCTGTAGGGTACAAAGTGGAAGCAAGGACCCAGAGGTTACCGCAGGGCCCTTGGATCAAGTCTCAAGCTCACGGGAGTTTGAATTTGAGTCTTATGTAACCACAGATGGGTGTAGGGGTACAAGGGTGTGAAGGCATGAGGCTCATCATAAGTATCCACCAATCCTGAAATTCATCAGCACTTACATGCTGCATCCTCCGAGTTGGCCTCACCCTCAGCCAACTGAAGCAGGTTGGGGTTGGACCGCAAAGGGCCGTGGGTGCTTTGCAGTGGCTGTCATCCTGTCCGCTCTTGTCTCCTTCCTCAGCTGTAGCCAGAACAGCCGGCGTGGGTTTCCTTCTTATTTAAGCAACCTACCTGGGACGAGGGCTGGGACTTTGGTGCTGCTGAAAACATCTAAATGTCAGCCCTGGTGGGCATTCTAGAAACTGAACCAGGGTGGATTCTGTCACTCCTTCCTGTAGGAACATTTTTCTGGAAGCAGGAGCAGGTGCACGTATCTCCCACAAAGTCCTTGCAGGGACTTGGAGGGTAGAAGAGCCGGAACAGGAGTGAGCACAGGCCCGCAGGCTCCCAGCCCCCCTCGGTGAAGTGCCCTAGGGTGGGGACCAGCCTTCCCCCCCCACCCAAAGCCAGGAACGAACTGTTTCAACCTAACCGAGGCTTTTGGTCACAGAGTAACATCATCACATTTATCCACCTTAAGAGATTTGCTGGGAATCGACAAAGCAGGGCAGCAGGTAACTAGTTGAGTTGCTCGTTTCCTCCTCTCTCTTTCTCCTTGGCAACAGGACTCCCTAATTGCTGCTTTCCTGGCTACTCCCATCATGCCAGTTGCCCGAGAGCATTTCAGATCACTCTTCTTCTGCAAAGTGAGATGTTTATCACAATACCTTAAGTTTTACCCTGAAAGATATTTAAAATGGTTTCAGGCCTTTTCTGAAAAAGAGGGTGCTGACTCTCTTAACAGGGCTTTTGTTTGGTTAGAGAAACAAGAGAAAGAAATGACTAGCAAGGTGCCAGGATGCTTATCTTGATCTATTAGAACATGCTTTTCCTGCCCACTTCCTCCTTCCGCGTTCCCCCCCTCCCCCATCACCTGTGAAATCTGCACTCCTGACACTCTGTGCCTCACACAGAATGCCAGGTAGAGATCAGACTCTGTCACTATGAAAGGCAAGGGGACAAGCTGGTTGGAATAGGCAGACAAGCGCGTCATGTTGTTTTGGTGGTGAGGTGACATGGGCCTGCTCACATCGGGGCAGGTGAATGGGCTGTTTCCTTCCTGGGTTGGGACTGTGTCGTTCTCTGTGTGGTCATGGGCCAGCATGGCAAAGGGAGGAGGGGAGGCTGTTTGCAGTGAGCTCGCCAGGCCAAATTCAGCCCAAAGATGTGTTTTATTTGGCCCAGACCCTATTCCATTTTTCAAAAATTAGCTGTCCACATTTACAATTTTCACATAAAAAACGCACACTTCTGGCTTCGTTGATAAAATGGAGAATGACAGCAGAGCCTTATTCCCATAAGGCAACACTGGGCAATGGCTGGTGTTTGGGGGCCCTCCACTCTGCCATCTTTGCCCTCCACACACACCTGCTCGGTAGCAGACAGGTGTCAGCAACCACATTGTGGCAGGCCCCTTGCCGAGGGCTTTGTGTCAGTGTTCACAAACATTGCTGCACATTAGAATCACCCCGGAGCTTTTTAAATACCCCAGAGTTTAGGCCTTTTTCCAAACCAGTTATATCAGAATCTCTGGGGGGTGGGACCCAGGCTTCCAAATTTTATAACCTCCCCCC